GTTTTCAGCTTTATATACCACATATCAGTGAAATCATATAGTTCTCTATTTTTTCTGTCTGACTCATTTTGCTTAGCATTATAATCTCAAGATCCATCCATGTTGTTGCAAGTGGTGCTATTTCATCTTTTCTGATGGCAGAGTAGTATTCCATTGTGTATGTGTACCACATCTTTTTTATCCAATCATCTATCGAAGGACACTTTGGTTGTTTCCATGTCTTGGCCACTGTAAATAAAGTTGCAATGAACATCAGAATGCATGTATCTTTACAGGTAAATGTTTTCAGATTTTTGGGGGTAGATACCCAGGAGAGGGATTGCGGGATCATATGGTAATTCTATTCTTAATTTTTTGAGGAATCTCTGCACTGCCTTCCATAGCAGCTGCACCGATCTGCGTTCCCACCAACAGTGTATGAGGGTTCCTTTTTCTCCACAGCCTCTCCAACACTTGCTATTATTTGTCTTGTTAATGAAGCCATTCTAATTGGTGTGAGGTGATATGTCATTGTGGTTTTCATTTGCATTTCTCCGATGATTAGTGATGCTGAGCAGTTTTTCATGTGTCTATTGGCCATCTGTATGTCCTCTTTGGAGAAATGTCTATACAGGTCCTCAGCCCATTTTTAAATTGGATTATTTGTTTTTTTTGTTGTTGAATTGTATGAGTTCCTTATATATTTTGGATATTTGGATATTTGGCTGGTTGCCTCTTTATTTTGTCAATGGTTTATTTTGCTGTGCAGAAGATTTTTAGTTTTATATAGTCCCATTCAATTATTTTAGCTTTTACTTCCCTTGCTTTTGAGGTTGAATCCATAAAATGCTCCTTGAACCCAAGGTCCATAAGTTTAATACCTATGTTTTCTTCTATGTGGTTTATTGTTTTAGGTCTTATGTGTAGGTCTTCGATCCATTTGAGTTAATTTTGGTACATGGTGACAGATAGCAGTCTAGTTTCATTCTTCTGCATGTGGCTTTCCAATTCTCCCAGCACCATTTATTGAAGAGGCTGTCTTTTCTCCATTGTATGTTTTTGGTTTCTTTGACAAAAACTACCTGTCCATATTTATGTGGGTTTATTTCTGCATTCTCAACTCTATTCCATTGGTCTGTGTGTCTGTGTTTCTGCCAATACTATCCTGTTTTGATTATTGTTGCTCTGTAGTACGAGCTGAAGTCAGAGAGTGTGGCGCCTCCAGCATTGTTCTTTTTTCTTAGGATTGCTTTGGTTATTTGGGGTCTTATGTGGTTCCATACAAATCTGATGATTTTTTGTTCTATCTCTTTAAAAAATGCCATTGGGATTTTGATGGAGATTGCATTAAATCTGTATATTGCTTTGGGTAATATGGCCATTTTAACTATGTTGATTCTTCCAATCCATGCACACAGAACGTCTCTCCATTTCTTTGTGTCTTCTTAAATTTTTTTAAAAAATGTCTTATAGTTTTCAGTGTACAGGTCTTTCACTGTCACCATTGTAAGTGAAGATGAGCTTCTGATCTTTGATGTCACTGAAGGTGGTTGTTAGACTAATAGCCAGACTGACCCTAATTCTGTGAATGTCTTTTGTTGGGAAACAGATGTCCTCTTGAATTTCCATCCAATTGCATCACTGTGAGATGCTGAAGTCCTTGGCTTTCAAAAACAACATTGTTTCTGATGGTAACAAATCAACACGGGATACATCAAACATTATTGATGGTTGTAACAATTAATTAATGAAGGTTGAAAAGCCTGTAGCACAGCCACACTCTTATAGTGCTGTGGGCATATAAAAAAATAAATTGTGCCTGACTGTATGAAGTCTTAATTTATTCCATTTCCATAAACATAAAATTTAAAACTGGAGATTGATTTGAACAAGAAAGAGGGCCAAAAGTAAAATATAGTAACAAAGAGTTAAGTCTTCTTTACAGGATTCCCTTGTAAGCTCTTCTGTGTCTACATGTTCTTTACCATTTGGCTAAAACATTAATTTTTAAACTGTATATAGTATTTTAAAAATAATTTTAAAACATTCTAGAAATAAGAAAATTATTTCTAAATACTGTGACATTTTTTCTTTGGAAAAAAAAAGGTTATCCTATGGTTTTTACATAGAAATATGTATTTTATTGGGTTGTCGGAAAAGTCATGACATATTTTTTCTATGTTTTTCGGCATAAAAATGTGTCATGACATTTCCGACAACCCAATAGTACAGCCTTTACTTCCATGAAACACAAGTGGACTAATATCAGGGAAAAAGGGAATCAGTAAATGTAAACCACAAGAAGAAGAAATTGATGGGTAAGAGGAGAGACAATGAGAGAAAGTAAAATAAAGTGCTAAAATGAATCTCCTAAGATCAAAAGAGCAGGAGTAGGAACAGCTACCAGCAGAGAGTTAATTTGGAAATTGAACTTGGCCCCAAAAGCCCAAAAAATAACCCATTCAGTGAATTTCTGGACAAGAAGCTGGAGAAAGAATACCCCCAGTCAGTTAACAGTAATTACAGATGAGAGATTTTTCTCTGGAGTTTGGAATACAGCAAGCTAGATGGCAAACCAGGGTGAACCTGGTTTAATTAAAGCAGGAAAATAAAAACACTAGTCTGGGGAGTTAATCAGGATGGAGTTAAGAAACTAGATTGTTGTGTTAAGCTAAACCTAGCTGTATTCACAAAATGAAGCACTGTACTTTTAATTTTTCAACTATCTGGAAAGATGGAAACCCTGCATTTTCTCAAATGCTATTTCATTTACCATTTAACAATATATACAAATATCAAATCATTATGTTGTATACCTGAAACTAATATATTATCTCAATTATATCTCAATTTTTGAAATGTTATAACATTTAAATATCTAGCAGACATACTTTATGCACTGATAATCCAGCCTACAGGGTAGGTATTGAAATACGCTGAAGACCTAAATTCATGTCCAAAGAATGGGGCACTTTTCTTCACCCTGCAGCTGACCTGACAAACACTAAGTTGCTTTTGGTTGGAAGTGAAAGACAATTAACCTAAGCAAAATGGCACTATCCTGTCTCTTGCGCTCCAAGGTAGTGTTGAACAGTGGACAGGGTAGCCACGCAGCTAAATCTCAGCATCACCTTGGCACATGGGACTCAAACCCGGGATTCTCTCCATTTCTTATCCTGCATCCTTTCTACTCATCATCTTCATTCAATTCCCTAGCAGCTGCTTCAGGGGTTCAATTGCCAGTTGATCCTCAGTCTCACAACTTGAAGTTTCTACCAAAGGAGATTAACTGTCCCTTCTTCAATTCCAGTCAGGAAAACCCAAGGGGAGAATTCTGATTGGGCCCTGCTTGGGTCAATCAACTAAAGTCAAGAGAGTGGGATTGCCTAAGAATGTGGCAGCATCAACTAGAACCACATACTTAACAGTGTGTATATGTTGGGGAGACAAAAGTATGAGAACAGAAGACTAGGAGGTGTGTGTGTGTGTGTGGTGGGGGTGTGGGGGTGAGGGTGGATTTATCACAGGATAGTTCCAAAAAGACAGAGGGTGCTGTTCCTAGAAAAAGGGGTTTTCTAGGTAGACTAAAAAATTGTAAATTCAAGTGGAGACTGGAACCAAGAAACCAAGAGAAGGCTGAGACTCAGAAGGGCAGCAATAGAAGAATTAGTGAAGATCAACAGGAATGGATCATTAGAGACCAAGCCTAAGATCTTCCACACTCTAATATTCCCAGTCTCCCTGTGTGCATGCAAAAGTTGGACAGTGAAGAAGGCTGATAGGAAAAAATAATTATTTATATAAAGTATGGTGTTGGAGGAGAGCCCTACAAATACCTTGGGCTGTCAGAAAGCTAGTAAGTGAGTCCTAGAGCATTCAGCCTGAAACATTACTGGAGGCAAAAATGGCAAAACTGAAACTGCCCTACTTTAGGCACATCATGAGAAGGCAGAATCATCTGGAAAAGATAGTTGCTGGGAAAAATAGAAGGCAGCAGGAAAAGAGGAAGACCAAATGTGAGATGGATTGACACCATAAAAGAAGCCCTAGGCATGAGACTACGGCAGCTGAGCAGGGCTGTTGAGGACAGGACACTGCAGACATCACTCATTCATAGGGTCACCAGGAGTTGGAACCAACAGCCGTAACATACACACACACCAGCATCTCATTAGGCGCTGGAAAGAAATACATTTTGATCTTCTAGATACATTCCAAGATAAAAGTTTCTTTTTGTGACCAGAATCTCTTTTATTATGAGACAGGTCATGAGTTGGTCCAGAAACTGACATTCCTCAGTCGTGTGTAATGAATAGAGCATCAGTGCAATAGAGTGTCACCTGGGGAGGTTTCTAGACTGTAAATCCCTGGGACCCAATGGATGCTTATGGGTTTTGCCACTTCCCAGGTAGTCCGAAGAGATTTTACTTTCTGCTATCAGCTGAGCAAAATGTTCAGATATGTCTACTTCTCATCTAGTATATTTTTCAGAGTTAGGGAGACTTGCAATCAGTCAATTATAATGGCACTATCATTTTGTTAGAAAGTCTTGAATGACACTAATGATATTAACTCAAAAGTGTTATATTTTTTCATACTCATTATCAGTCACTCACTAATCTATCTTTTAAAATTATCTGTATTTCAAACTGACATCAATTCTTAGAATAAAATGTGTCACCCATGTTTAAAATGCAATTTATTATTTTTTAAAGTTAACTCTTTCAAGCAGGAGCAAGACAGGTAATAGGAACACAAATAGATATTCAACCATCCTCTTATTTAAAAAAAGTCAATACTACAGACCATGACATAATATCTCCATTCCAACTCTGACCGAGTTTAAGTAAATTTCCAATATGAATAGTAAAATATTCTGGGGCTAAATGAAGATTTTAGGACAAAAGGTAACATTAAGCTGTGTTTTGCTTTAAATCTTTAAATTTAATTTGATGTCTAGTGTAACGTCACCAAAAAATTTAAAAAGGCAAGGTTTAAATGCAAGTAAATAAAATTGAGACATATTACCGATTTTCATGAATAAAACTTTAATTATCCAAACTCATCTGGGAACAGATTTTCTACATATATCCACTTCTAGATAACAAAGTTTGCCATATGATGGAAATCATTTTTCGCTGTATCATGTACTTCCTGGAATTTTTCTCATCAAGTTACGGAATAACCTGTCTGCGCTGGGGCTCTTTGCGATAATAAAGTGGGTAGAGCTGTTGACACTGCCCTCAATGTCCCAGATTGTAATATGGCTTTGGTTTTGTAACCTCTTCCTTTGATATTCATTGAAGAATACATATTGCATCCTCTTTATTTGTTGCTTCTATCTGCTATTGTCTTGAGAAACCTGAAGAAACAATCTTATTTAAATTATTAAGTTTTTTTTCAAGTCACTCAGTGAGTAACTAGAGATATTTTCGATGGAATTAAAATTCAGGGAATGTGTGTCAGTTATCAGCTTAATAGGTATTGAAGGATTGATACCTGGAGGATTGAATTTCCTGGAAGCTTAACCTTAAACTAAATGAGACACTACTAGGTTACTAAATATGGATGAATGGCTTCTATTTTCCTTAATGATAGAAGAATTTAGAAGAAATATGCCAAAATCAGAGGCAGAAGATCTGTGTTCTAATGATACACTGAGTAATAGACCTGAGTTTCCTAAAGCAATAGCATGTTGTAGTAGAAGTGTGTCATATTGGGAGTGAAGAGATTTAGAGTATAGACCTCTATTTCCAGCCCCCTCACCCATCAGTGGCGTGACTTTGGCCAGAAATTTACCTTCTCATTGATCTTATTCCCTTACGTCTAATAAAAAGAAGTATAACTAGATGAACTCTAAGGTCCTTCCAGCTCCAAAAGCCGTTAACAAACCTCATGAGGTCCTGTGAGAGATTGGAGATTACCAGGAGGAATCTCTCCTGATAGTATGGGATATACAAAGTTACTGATGCTATGTAGAATGAAATGAAGCCTATAAGTACATAGTCAAAAGAGAACAGAACCTATGAGTCAACTTATAAGTCATCTCTTCTAGTTGATAAAATCTGAAAAGTATCATAATAATAATTCTTCTCATAGCTGATGCCATTGATATAATTTTAAAAACTTAAGCTCCTTAAGTCTAAGTGCTTAATTACCCTTTTCAAATTAAATGTATATGTATACATGCATATTTAGGGCCCTGAGTCAACAAGAATACCTTAAAAAATTCTGTAACCTCAACTGAATTATATCCTTTGGGTCTGTCAATTGACATTTCCCTCTGTTGAGAAACTTGTTATATGCTTATTGGGGTACCAATATCAGTTAGCTCTACTTTTGGGATTAAGAACTGTGGTGGTGATGAAAATATAAAAACTTTTTCTCTGGTTGGCTTGACCCTAAGGTTAATGAGGACAAGAAAAAATTATGTCTAGGGATTAAGAGTATTTAATGTATGATCTGTACATTGTAAATGCAAAGTTTCCCTTACAGAAAGGCCTTATTCATGATAGGGGCACAACCCAATAATACAGTTAGGATTCATCTGCATTTCTCCTCTTCAACTTGATCCAGATGCCTTTAGTTGGACGAAGAATCAGCTCTCCTGACAGACCAAGCTCTTCTCTTTTCTGGTTGGATTCTACCCAAAAATGCCTCAGGATGCAGGAAAGAATGGTCTTTTCTTCCATCATGGCAAATCTTTGACCTTCAAATTAATGTAAATAAATCACTTTAATTATATATATTTCTCAAATGTGAGAAAGAACAGATCCTAGCAGAGGAAGAAAGCAATGGTACATTTTCACAGTAGGCCCTGAAAGAAGCAGAATCACCTGGGATGCTTGTTAAAAATGAAGATTCTTGAGTGCCTTTCCGCAATCCCACCCTGTGCAGCTGAATAGCTGAGGTGGGCTGGGAATCTGTATTTTTCCAGCACCCTGAATAAGTCCTGGGCTCATTGAAGTATGAGAATCTCTACTATAGAATGCTTTCTTAGTGGGCCTTTAATGTAATATTCTACAGCATTACCAAATATGTTTCAGGACACAGGTACACACAGAGGAAAAACTATGTGGGAACATAGGGAGAAAATAGCCATCTCCAAGCCATGGAGAGAGACCTCAGCAGAAACCAGCCCTACTGACACCTAGATCCGAGATTTCTAGCCTTCAGAACTGTGAGAAAATACATTTCTGTTGTTTAAGCCACCCAGTCTGTGGTACTTTATTATGGCAGCCTTAAGAGACCAATCACTTTATGACAGTCATATTTGAAATCGATAAAATATAGTAAAGTGGAGAAAAAAATACAACAACTATTTAAAAAAAAAAAAAACTTGTCCATGAGATACTACATCTCAAAGAAATTCTTCTGAGAAACCCACTACCATGTGGGCCTAAAGGTCAAACCAATTGTGAATACAAACCTATACAGTTTCTGGGTCCAGCAGAGAAGGGCACATATGCATATGGATGGCGTCCTTTCACATTCTCGGGAAAGAATCGCTCTGGCTTGAATTCCTCAGGATCTGGGAAGTATTTTGGGTCCCTATGCAGCGCATAGGGCACAATGAGTGCTTGAGAACCCTTCACAATGCTGTAGCCCCCTGTCAAGATGTAGTCAATATGCATGAGAATGAAAGCAAGGCAGACATTAAAAATCCACTCTCCCTACCACTTTAATTACAGAACTCTTACCAATTTCGCAATTTTGATTAAGGTAACGGGCAATGATAGGAACAGAAGGAAAAATACGAAGGCTCTCCTTAATAACACATTCCAGATATTTAAGTTTCTTCAGGTCTTCTAAGGTAGCAGGACGATCAGACTTCCCTGATTAAACACATGAAATAAAATTAAATGAAAGAGTTATTTGGGCTTGGGGGATAAGACATCAAAGAAGTCTATGTTAGTCAATACACTGAATGTCGAATTCCCACAGCTAAAGTAGACTCTCTAATATTATAGATAATCAAAATAAAGATAATCAAAACATAATATACTAAGTAAAAGAAACCAGACACAAAAGGTCACATATTGTATGATTAAATTTCTAGGAAGTACTCAGAGTAGATAAACCCATAGAGATAGAAAATAAATTAGGTGTTGCCAGGGGCTGAGGAAAAAGGGAATGGGGAGTGGCTGATTATGGAACAGGGTTTCCTTTTAGGGTGCTGAAATGTTTTGGAATTAGATGGAGGTAATAGTTGCACAGCACTGTGAATGCACTAAATTCTACACTTTAAAATGCTTCATTTTGAGTTCTCAGAGCTCCTTCCAGAAGTGCATCATTTCTTGGGTCAGGTTCTTGAATCAGAGCATAGCCCCCAAATGCCCTTTGTTCCCACCCCCCAAAAAAACCAAGACTGCCTTCCACCTACAGGCTGGAGGAGACATCAACCTCTCTGTATTTGCCAGAGGGAGAAAAAGAACAGCAAGAAGCAACTGAACATATTGATAAAGTACAAATTGAAACAAACTGACTTAATGCACAAACCAGGGAGATTTTGGAGGTAGAACAGAAATATAACGAACACCACCAATCATTTTTTTCAGAAGAGATTGTAATTAACTGCCAAAATCCCAAATTTTGGGGTAACAACATTCGCCAACTATCCTTCAGCCTGCACTGCCTGGGAGGTACAATGAAAAGGCACTGTGTTCTTTGACCAGAATTGAAGTGACAGAAATTGAAAATATTAAATCAGGTCACCAAATAGATTTCCACTTTGATGAAAACCCTTCCTTTGAAAATAAAGTTCTCTCCAAAGAATTTCATCTGAGTGAGAGTGGTGATCCATCTTCAAAGTCCACAGAAATCAATGTTGAGCTCTGGAAAGGATTTGATGAAATGTCCAACTCAAATGCAGAATAAAGCCAGTAGCAAGAGGCAGCATGAGGAACTAGAGAGCTTTTTTCTCTGTCTTATGGCCATTCTGAAGCAGTGCAGCTGAGTTGGGAGAGGTCATCAAAGATGATATTTGGCAAAATGCAATAATACAGCATGCCTTGGTTCCTGACATGGATGATAAATAAGGGGAAGGAGAAGAAAAAGATGATGATAGTAAAGAAAGAGCAGGAGAAGAGGGTGAGGATGATGATGAAGGAGAAGGAGGAGGACGATTGAAAGATAATGATAAAGAAGGGAATCAGGATGAGGGGGAGAAAGGAGGGGAGAATGAAGGAGATGACTAGGGAACACTAATGGATTCTCACCTTTTACAAATTTTCTCCAGTCCCTGGATGCAAGTAACAGTCTCCACCCACATACCCCACTCCGCCTTATACTCAGTCACTCTGCCCGTCAAGTTTCTAGTCTCCTCTTTGCACCCTGGTTCTCAATTTATTGGGTTGTCGGAAAAGTCATGACTTTTTAATCTATTTTTTTCAAAGGTCATTTATTTATATGAAGAACAAAGATCAATCAATGATATATTGCCCATTTTGTTCGATAACCTTCTGCCATCTTTCAGTGAGCTTCATAATTCCTCATTCATAGAAGGACCTGTCTTTATTTGCGAAAAACTGAACAAGGTGCTGATTTACAGCCTCATCTGAATTGAACGCTATTCCATGCAAGGAGGTTTGAAGAGAGCGAAACAAGTGGAAGTCTGATTGTGCAAACTCAGGCAAGTATGGTGGGTGTGGCAACACATCCCATCCAAGCTCCAATAATTTTTGACAGGCGATCAAACTTGTGTGTGGTCTCGCGTTGTTGCGATAGAACACAGTTCCTTTACAATTAACAAGCTCTGGACATTTCTGGATGATGAATTCATTCAAACTGTCCAAGTGCTGACAGTACACATTCAAATTGATTGTTTGGTTCCTCGATAGGAGCTCGAAAAACACGACACCTTTAAAATCCCATCACACTGACAGCATAACCTTCTTCTGATGAATGTCTGCTTTCCATGTCGTTTGAGGCAAATCATCACGTCGGGACCAAGACAATCCACTTCTCATCATCAGTTATCAGTCACTTCAAAATAGGATGGTTTTCCTCATGTTTAATGAGCATATTGCAGGTGTTTATACGTGCCGTCAAATGAACCTCTTTGAGTTCATGCGGAAGCCAAATATCGAGCTTGCTTATGTATCCCAGCTTCTTCAGGTGGTCGTGAGCACTTAAATGATGGATGTTCAATGTTTCTGCAATCTCTCGTGTTGTGTAACATGGGTTTGACTCAATCAATGCCTTTATTTTGTCGTCATGAAACTCAGTGGGCCTCCCTGACCGAGGAGCGTTATTGAGATCAAAATCACCAGCATGGGATTTCGTGAACCATCATTGGCACTGACATTCTTGTAAAGCAAAGTCACTGTAAACTTTATACAACTTTTCACAAGCTTGACTCACGTTCTTCCCTTTATGGAAGTAAAACAGTAAAATATGGCAAAAATGCACAGTTTGGTCTTCCATTTTCAACTTGTTGTAAAATCTCCAAAACTCAACCAAATAGCTCAATTTTTTTTTTAGAGTGAAGCTAGCACTGTCAGCTGTCAAATGACATAGCAACAAGACAGATGAGAATGACCCTAGTACTTCCAAAAATGAACTAGCGCCATCTGTGGCAAACATGCTTCATGACTTTTCCAACAACCCAATATTCGGGGGAAAATACCTTGAGCAGAATACTGGTGAAAGAATTTCTACTTCATTCTGTTCCAAATTCATTTTTATCCCTTCCTGACTCAACAAAAGCCTTATAGAATCAACATCACAATGTTGGAAAAAACAATTTTTTCTGTGGGAAAAAAGAAAAACCTTCTGTTCCCTTAATCTGCTGGGAGCTGGAGGGTGCTCAGCCCTTGTGTAGTAGAGTGCAGAGAATTCTAGGCTTTTTCCTTCTTTTTCTGTATACTGGGCTCAGAGATTACACTGTGAATCTATGTGAATACAGATAGTTAGCATGTACCAATACGCTTCTGTCTACTTTCTCTTGCATAAAATTTTTTATTAAAACATTTAAAATTAGGTTTATAGAAGGTCAGCAAAAGGTGGGTTTGAGACATTTGGGTGGGTTAAGTGGGTATTTTGAAAACATGGCTTCTCCATTGGCATGTTTAATTTGATGGTTAATGGATATCCTTGCAGTTTAAGATGACATTTTTAAAATAAAAATTCTCTCTTAATGATGACTTGAGCCCTGCCACTCAATGGGAGAACAGCAAACCTGTACAATGACATGCTTTACTGTAATTTTGTCCCTATTTATTTTTAAATTTTCTTTTTCTGTCACTGGAAAGAAAAGATAATGTTTAGTTTTCAATATTAAAATTGTATGAGTTGCTTTATTACACACACACACACACACACACACAGAGCTTAATTTTATGTTATATGAAGTTTACCACAGTAAAAAATAAATAAATAACAAAAGTAATTAACACTTGCATCTCAATATCCAAAGATCAGTTGCTCAAAAAATCTTAGAACTAATACTGGAGAAGCGGGGGCAGGGGGGAGGGTGACAGAAGAAAAAAGTGAGTCACAATTAGCAAAAGAATAAAGGAGCAGCAGAATAAAGATTCTAGTAATAATGGTGTTACTAATTATGAGAGATCAGAAAGCATTTTGGAGACCAGCAATAAGCTAGCAATTGTAGAGGATACAAATATGTGAACACATTCCAAAAGAAGTGTGAGGTTTTAGAATACTAAATTTACCCACTGGAGGCGATATGAGAGAAAATAAAATTGATATGAAAAACATAAAATAACTGAAACAGAGCCAAGAAGTTTAGATTGTCTCCAATATACAAAACAGTCTTCCCTCTTGATATAAAATTCCAGCCCTCAAAGAATCTAAGCATGAAATTACTTTTCCAACTTTACCTCTCAACACATCTCCCAAATGTCCGGTACCTCAGTAGTTACTATTGTCCTCCAAACGTTTCCACTCTGCCATTGTCTATCTAGCTCCCCTCTTTCTAGAATGCCTTCTCCTTCCTCTTTTTTTCCTTTATTTCTCCTTCCCCACTTCTTTTCTTTATGAAAATGCATCAGATGCCATTTTGTTTGTTGGCCAGACCAATCTTTCTTTTTATTTTCCTTCCAGCTATGGGAAGCCATGTGACATGTGATTAAACAAAGGATAAAATTGATGGCACAATGCATAGCCTTTTTGTGGTAGGCTGATCATGGCTCCCAAATATATCAGGTCCTAATCTCTGGAATCTGTAAATGTTACCTTCTTTGGGAAAAGGTGCCTTTGAGGATTTTATTAAGAATCTTAAAATGAGATTATCCTGGATTATCCACGCGGGCCCTGAATGCCATCACAAACGTCTTTATAAGAGAAGCAGAGGGAAATTTTACACACACACACACACACACAGAAGAGAAAGGGATGTGAAACTGGAGACAGAGGTTTGAGTGATGTGGCCATAGGCCAAGAAATGCTGGCAGCTACCAGAAGTGACAAGGAATGGCGTCTCCCCTAAGCCCTGCCAACACATTGATTCAGCTCAGTCACACTGATTTTGGATTTCTGGCCTCCAGACTGTGAGAGAATAAATTTCTGTTGTTTGAAGCCACCCAGCTTGTAGAAAATGTTAGAGCAGCCACAAGAAACTAATATATCTCTCATGTCTTCCTCTCCTTTCTTCTTGCCTTAAAGATAAACATGAGACCTGGAACAACAATCAAGAGAACAAAAGCCATGATGGTAAAGATGACAGAAACAAAAAGAGGAAGCTTGGGAATCTGATGGCATCCCTACTGGCATCAGCCTAGGACTCCACCTATAGATTGCTGGTTGTATAGTAGAAATTTATGTCCTGTCAGCTTAACCCATCTTTTCTCTCATTTGTAACCAGAAGCAATCCTGTATGAAACCACTTTCCTTGACCCCTCTAACTAGCTCCACCTGCTCCTGTCTGCTATCAAATAGTACCTTCTTCATATCACTCAAGCTCACAGCCATGACTTGAAGCTTTACATGCAATGTCTGTTTCATCTATTAAGCAGTGAGATCCTTGAAGAGAGCGACATTTATCTAGCCCAGTGCCGTCGCATGCCAGGAGATTGGCAAATACCTATAAATGAAGGGATGAGACCTTGCAAAGACCAGTCCTGGGAGGAATCCCATGTGGAAGCCTTCCTGCTTATGACAGTGTCTTTAGGACAGATCCTACTGCACATTCTTAATGAGTAAGAATGACATTTGCTTACTTGAGACCCACAGTGTAACTAGTGAAGAGGCCAAACATACCAAACACTTCATCCAGTTCATTGTCCAGCGTTTTCTGGACTTCTGGATTAGTACCCAATAAATATAAGGTCCAGTTTATTGCAGCGGCGGTGGTATCATGGCCCTACAAATGTAAGAAAAAAAAATAGTTTAAAAAGCAGAGTTCCATGAACATCAGGAATGCTAACTTTATTTTGAATTGTCTCTGGATTTGACAGCTGTGATGTAACCCCAGAACATAACAGATTAATTTTGTGCAATATTTCACCTTGATGAGAAGCAAACAAACAGAACAGCCCCTTCAAAGTAGAGGCAAGTAGAGGCCTCTGCTTAGAGAGGCATTTCAAGGATACACCAGTTGCATATTTGGTGAGAAGTGGCTGGGCCGAGCTAAGAAGAGGCATTCCAAGGAAACTAAGTACACTAGGCCTTTTTTTAAGGGACAAAAAGTCTCTGACTTTCCTAAGCCAACTTGTCAGATCTGTACTTCTCTACCTTCTCCCATTGGTAAGGTAGGCAAGGAGTGTATGTGTGGTTCTGAATAATATTCTCCACATCAAGATGTTGATAAATAGTCTCATTTAATCCTTGCTGAGTTTTAGGCAAAATACTAAACACTCTGCGGAAACTAAATCAATTATTCTTCACAAAAACTCCATGGAATACTTGATACTGCTATTCACATTTTAGAGATTAAAAACTGAGACCCAAAAAGAAGCTAAATGACTTTCCCAGAGCCAGATAGCTTAATAAGAGGCAGAGACAAGACTAGAACCCTTGGAATGTCTGATGCAAAGCAGAGCAGACACTCTCCCCTCCTGGGAGTGTGGGGGGGGGGTCTAGGGAAAGAAGACCCCAGCTCTAATACTAATATTAACACCGTGAACAACTTTATTCTCTGCCCACTCACTGTATTAGCCCCTTATTTCTTATTTTCATCTTACCAGGACATTTTCACATGCAAAGATGGTATGTCCTTCAGAAAAAACAACAACTGGAAAAACAATAATAATATTAGTGCTCTATGAATAAGACTTTTAGGAAAAAAGAGGGAAAATAAATGATCTCCTGTATGGGAGATCTTCCATTTCCATTTTCTCTGTGTGACACAAGTGATCATTGTAATATTTCATTCTCGGGGCAGAAATCGCCAAAGCACCTGTTTTATAAAACAGCTCCTAAAGTTGAACTATTGAGAATTATTCGCAATTTTCAAAAATATATAGTTTACAAGTCTTTGATATTGGTGTGTCATTGTATTTTCTTACACTTGCAGTTTCTTTACAGAAATGATTCTGAACTCCAGACAAGGTCTGGCCCAGTTCTCTCAAGTGATTACCAAAGTCATAAAAGGAAGTGCTCTTGCTAAATAAGTTTTAATACTTGGTTGTCAGGAAAGTCATGATTTATTTTTGCAACGAAGAACAGAAAAAATATGTCATGACTTTTCCGACAACCCAATACCTTTTTTTGAATTTATAAGTGGAAGCCTGACCCAAGTGTGTAAGACAAGTTGCTGAATTTCCTGTTTCATTTTCTCTCCTACGTGAAGACAGCAAAACATACAGACAGGGTTGACAGAAAAACACTGGTAGAACCGGGAAGGGGCAAAAACCCTAATATCTAATGCTGTCACCTGGAGTATGAATGGCACGGCAGCAATAGCCTTACGGAGGAGGTCACAGTATTATAGTCACACATCGTAACCCTCCTATTTTATGCGAAGAAAAAAAAATTAGAGTTTCAAAGAATGTTAGAGCTAGAAGAAAGAGGTCATTAGTTTGGTTGTTTTCATGAAAGTGAGAGGTTACTGGTAGGAGATGGATGTGTGTGTGTATGAGTATATGCATGTGTATGTGTGAGTGTGTATGTACATGCACGTGTGTGTGTGTGCATGCATGCATGCAGGTAGAGATGTAAGAAAGTGTCTCCACTTCAACATCAAATAATAGCCAATGTGTGCTGCATGCTTCGTGCCAGGCAAGATTCTAGGTGCGCTTTAGAAATCATTCATCTAATCATCATAACTATTCTGTGAGGCCCATGCTACAACAATGAGGACACGGAAGCCCAGAAATGCCAGAGGAGGTGCCCGAGGTCCCACCTCTAGTACAGGTGAGAGCTGGGATTTGGCCCCAAAGCCCCCATGCTTAACACCTCTCCACTTTTCAGCTAATTAGATATTCATTTTTCTGCATAATGTATCTTTTCAGTACAGTGCTCTGCTTAAAAAAAGAAGTTTACAATCCCTGATGTGTCCATCTCTCTGTTTTACACCTAGGGAAATTCTGACAGAGATTTGGGATGACTGGACCCATCTCATATGGCCAGTCAGCACAGAGCCAGGGGACATCAGATCTGCAGCCCCTTAACACAGCTTGCTTCCTGCTGCAGAGCCTTGCTCCCCGAGGAGGAAAGCTTGTGCACACAGACAGCTGTGGGCAGAGCAAACACCATGTGTAGCATGCAGTCTGTCATCTGACACTGCTGGTGCCTTTCTCTTTCTTCCACTTTCAGGACATTCCACAGGGTGCTTTTCAAAGCCATTTCTTTATCTTTGTTTGGCAATCCACTCCACATGTTGAGGGACTCAATCTTTGTAATATTTAACAAAGAATTATCTTTGCAAAAAATTCATTGTTTTTTTTTTACTGTGAAGACCAGAAATCCCTACAGAATCACAAACTGGTTAAATTCTCTATTGGGGGGTTCTTAGTATCTTCTTTAGTTAGGGCAGCTCACAGCAGTAGCTAAACACTCATATTTAGAACTTAAAAAAGGAGGGAGTGAAGAAACAGACTTGTGAGTTTCAGAGATAAAGAGGAAGCAGGAAGCAGGAAGCAATATGGAGAACAGAGGGCAATTTCTGGCTGTTCTTCTGCTTGGAAAAGTTTGATGAGCCTTACGTGTCCTTGAGAAAAATATGTGTCTACCGTTGTACTCACCACAAGTCAAAAGCTTTTTCTGAAGAAGAAGGTTGATCTGGTATTTAATCAGGGTCTTAAATTTCATAATCTCTAATTACAGTATAATGACTCTTCCTCAGTTATATTAAGCTACTTTAAAATTTGAATCAACTTTAAAAAATCATGCTCAAGATTCTTTAAAACAAGTGGAACTGGTTTAATAACACTTGAAATTAACATGACAATACAAAATACCTCAAACATGAAAGTGTCCACTTCCTCTCGAATATCTTCATGACTTAGTTTTTTCCCCTCATCATCAGTCACATTCAAAAGCAAGTCAAGAAAAGCCTTGCGTTTATTTTTGAAGGTAGTGCCCTTGTCATCACCTTTACATTTTTCATTTCTCTTTATTTCATTGGCCCGTTCAGTGATGACCTGTATGATTTAAACAATCACATGTTTTTGTTTGGAATTTGATATAGCATACTAATATATTTTCCTATGAAAATATACTAGCCTCTTTAATTTTTTCTGCACCTTTCCTGTTCTTTCTAACTCAACAATAACTTAGGTTTTCGTGAAACCGAAGTAAATCTCCCTGTTAACATTTTTAAGGCCTTACTTGATAAGACTTCTAAAGATAAATTTAATGCCAGACAAATTCATGATTTCCAAGGGCTATTTTTGCAGGTTTTCCAACATGGGAATAGAGTAGTTATTTACTAACTAGTGCCCTCAAGATCTGAATGAGTTAATGAGAAAAAGTTTAGGTGGTGGAGAGAATGCAATCAGTATGTAAAAGACTAATTAAAGGTCACTCTGTTGTACTGGAGCTAAGACTCACTCTGTATGCTTGCTGTTCCTTCTGCCTAGAATGCTTTATCCTTGGACGCCAGCATGGCTGGCTCCGTTGCGTCTTTCAGGTCTCTGCTTATTGTCACACTATCAGAAAGACCTTCCCTGAGCATTGCCACTCTAGTCCCTAGCACTCATTATCTTCCTGAACCTACTTCATTTTTTTCCATTTCACTTACCACCTGACATTATGGCATTTGCTAATTAGTGTCTTTCTCCTCCAAATTGAATGTACCATCCATGTAGCAGCAAGTATGTCTTTGTTCATTGATATATTTTCAACTTTTAGAACACCGCTTGGCATTTTAAGAATGTTAGCTAGATATTTGTTGAATGAATAAAAGAATAAAAGCCCATAAACATAATTTGGTTATAGATTTCAACTTCCTTGTCTTATCAGGCAATTGACCAAACCTTCCACTAAGTGGTTTGAATGAATAGATCCCAAGTTCTGTGAGGGCAAAACACCATCTCTTCTTTTATTCTTGGTGGAACCCCTAGTGCCTAGTGCTCGGTATGCAATTTTCAATATTTATTCAGTATTTATTGTCCATCCAATTTGGAGTTCATTCATTATTGATATTTATATTAACACATGAAATTTGTGAAAAGTGTAACTATACCCATAGAATACAAACTGTTAACCATTCTCCAATTGCCAGGTGATTACACTATACTCCACTGCGGGCAAGTCAATCCAACATCTCTAACATTACTGACTCCGTAACCACTTGATCTGTTCATGCTAGGCAGCACCTTACTGGAAAGAAGCAATTCCAATATATTTTAAACCAAAATTTACAGCAAAGAGTAAATGTATTTACTAAGGCACTTTTATCACTTTTAAGTTATAATTTGATATATATTTTCAATTAATTTTTGCTTTTTCATAAACACATCTTTAACACAGACATCCTGTATCCAAAACAACATTACTATCTCCTTGTTATTGAAAATTAAATAGTAATATCTAGTGAATTTTTCTTTTCCAAGTTAAGATACTACTATAAATGCCCTTTGCCTCTGAAAACTACTGCCTAATCCAAACATTTTCCAGAAGATTCTTGTCTCTTTATTCTTTTAGCATAGCACCCTGTTTGTTAGTAAATAATCATAGCTCAGATCACATTTTGTAATTATTTGTTTATAGACAAACTCCCCTAGTAGATTAACCACTTTCAGGGTAGGGAACATTCATTACTTTATTTCTAATGCTTGTTTGCCACCTAGTCAGTGCTTAATTAATATTTGGTGTATACCTAATTTAAATGTAATCATGCCACCTACTTTTTTCCATTATTATTCAATTCCATTATTATTCAATAATTTCCATTATTAGTCAATTATTTTATAACACACAGGCTCCATGGTCCTACATTGGGTATGCTAACAAAACAGAAAAATCATGGACATATAAAAGTTCTAGAAATGGATAGTGGTAATGGTTGCACGGCATTGTTAATTCACTTAATGCCACTGAATGGTACATTTAAAATGGCTATAATGGTACATTTTACGCAATGTGTATTTCACCACAATAAAAAAAAATTGACGACTTACATTGTTGGTAAAATTATGTACAATCTTTAGGGTCCTTTTATGTTCCCATCCTTCTTTAAATAAAAGGAATGAAAAGTCAAGCCAGAACCAAGGTGTCTTCATTCTTCGATGTACCATATCACTCATCCTATAAATAAGATAAAAATAACATCAGATGATACATCAAAAATGGGTTTTGCTAGAGCACCTATTTGACATCTGGTCTCAATGACAGTAATGTATGGCAATGATGACGATTCACCTTAGAGGCTACTACGAGCTCCATGCTTTATGCTCAACAATAAAGGAATGGGTTGTTGCACCTCCACCGAAGCTTAAAAGATGTGTAGGTTCTTTAGAAGGATGAAGAATCCATTATAAAGCATCCTTACTAGATGGCCATCTGATTTCTGCTTCTGTTTCTCCAGGAAGAGTTCCAGAGTTCCCCAGCAGCCTGTAGCTCCTGTACCACAGGCTGAAATGAAATCTGCCTCTTTTTAGGGTCCACTTATTTGCCACATCACTCTTCTGGAGTGGCAGAAAACTAATTGTCTTCCTCAACAGAAAAGTGCTCATTAAAATCCATCTGTCACACACCTGTCCTGAGTACCTCCCTCGTCATTTCCAGTGACAGAGCAGAAAGATGTCTATATGGTCTCTTCCATTGTGACTGACTTCGAGGCCAGTTCTTCAGAGAGGCCTTTACTGGTCACTCAATCTGTGGGAAATGTTTTCTTCTCGAATGTTAACTTGATTTTTTTCTTTCTAAGCAATTATTAAAACTTATGCTTATATTTATTTTTTTCAATCAATGCTTGTCTCCATTATTCTGTTTGATGGGACACTACCCTGTACAATGATTGACAGATTATATATATGCTAAATAAATATTTGTTAAGGTGAAGTGAAATGAGCAATGGACTTAAAGACAGAATACATTAAATTGAATACTGGCCCTGCCTTTTAATAACTAAATAATGTGAAGCAATTTTTTAAAGTAAAAATGATTACTTCAATTAAAAAATAGTACCTAATCAGTGCAGAAAATATGGGAAAGGACAGTAAATAGCAACAAAAATAAAACACAATAAGAAAGAGAAGCACATACACAAAACAAACAATAATCTCAGCTAACATTCTGGTATAATAGTCTATGAATAATGTTTTCTACCATCATACTAAAAAAATTGTTTTATGCTATCTGATATGAAACTATACCACAAAACTGTAGTAATCAAAACAGCATGGTGTTGGCATAAAAACAAACATATAGATCAATAGAACAAAATAGAGATCCCAGAAATAAACCTACTCCTCTATGGTCATTTAATCTACATCAAAGGAGGCAAGAATTTACAGTGGGGTAAAGACAGTCTAGTCAATAAATGGTGCTGGGGAAACTAGACAGACATATGCAGATAAATGAAACCAGACCACTTTCTTACACCATATACAAGAATAAACTCAAAATGAATTAAAGACGTAAATGTAAGACCCGAAGCCATAAAACTCCTAGAAGAAAACATAAGCAGTAAATTCTCTGACATTGCTCTTAGTGATATTTTTTTATGATATATTTCTTGGGCAAAGAAAACAAAAGAAAAAAATAAACAAATGGGACTACGTTAAACTAAAAACTTTTGCACAACAAAGGAAGCAATCAACAAAATGAATATACAGCCTACTGAATAGTAGAAGATACTCCCCAATGATACATAAGGGGTTAATATGCAAAATTTATAAAGAACTCATAAAACTTAACACCAAAAAAATAAACAATCCAATTTAAAAATGGGCGAAGATCTGAACAGACATGTCTCCAAAGAGACATACATGTGGCCAATAGACATGAAAAGATGCTTAACATCACTAATCATTAGAGAAATGCAAATTAAAATCACAAGGCGATATCACCTTATGCCTGTCAAAATGGCCATCATCAATAAATCAACAAACAAGTGTTGGAAAGGATTCGAAGAAAAGGGAACCTTCATACACTGTTCGTGAGATTGCAAATTGGTGAAGCCACTATGAAAAATGGTTTCAAGTTTCCTTAAAAAATTAAAAGTGAAACTACTTCATGACCCAGAAATTCCATTCCTGGGTACTTATCCTAAGAAATCCAAAACTCTAATACGCACCCCTATGTTCATTACAGCACTATTCACAATAGCTAAGATATCGAAGCAACCCCTGTGTCCATCAATAGACGATTGGATAAAAAAAAGATGTAAAGATGTGATACACACACACACACACACACACACACACACACAGGATGCCAAAAAATGTATACACATTTTAAGAAAAGAAAAAACTGTACTAAAATTGTAATAATATATACTGATAACAAAACATGAATACAAGTCATGTTTGCCTTCTGCAATTAAAGAGGTGTTCAAAGTAGTTACCATCAGTGTCCGGATATTTCTGATTATGGGGAACTACTACTTGAGCAATGTTGACCAAAGTATTCACTTGTATACATTTTTGG